CAGGATGACGGATACAGTTCAAGACTAATCTGGATGGCATAGTGAGTCTCCACGAACAAACCAAATAAATAAATAAACACATCAACAGCAAAACCCCATGCCGGGTACCTGACAGGGCCGTATTTGGAAACAGCCCACAGTCATAGAATCCAAATGCAGACACACTAGATAGGCTAGACCATAAATCAAGTCACTGGTGTTCTCCTGGGAAAAAGGAGATGCCAACGTGAAGAAACAAGATTGACAACAGTGACTGAGACAAGGAGGGGATGTCAACAGTCATGGATACCTAGGGCTTCTGGAGCCAACAAAAGTTGGGAGATACCAGAGGGCAGATACCACCAGTCAACACTACCACCACTGAGAGCTTCCCTGTCTCCTAAAGGAACCAAACTTGCCAAGGGACTCTGGTGTCAATCATAAATCACAAACACACACATTTACAAATGCACTCACTCATGAAAAAGAACACCTATACACAAATGACACTCTATGAGCTCCATCCACAGATCACAGAATCCCTGAGACAAACCGGATTGCCCTAAGTCACTAATGAAAAGTAGCATCAATGCATAAAAGTGTTTTCTCTGGACTGCATCTCCAAGGTTTTCACATCAACCTTCTTCTCTCATAGAATAAAACGTCAACTAAAAAGGTGTCACCCTGTGAGGGGACAGAGAGGCATCTGAAGAAAACATTCTGGGGTGACTGCACCTGGAATGTTCCTACCATGAGGCAGCTCTCTTCTTAAAGAGTGGAGTTCTGTAGGGGAACCTGTAGCTGTGCCAGCTTAGGGGCTGGCTACAGGTCTGCCTGACCACGCCCTCACCAGCCCCTAAGCAGGCTCGGCTACAGGTTCCCCTACAGAGTTCTGTTTTAAGTTACAGAAACCTCCTGGGGCAAGTCAGGATTACAGGAAATGAAATTTACGGATGTATTAGACCAGAGGGACAACGTGCACCACCACGAACAAGAATCTGACAGTCTGGGCAGTGGAGGAGAAGTTGGCCTAGAAACCCTTCCCCTAGAATGAGATTGATGAATACTCTCTATGCTATTCTAGAGTCCTCATCCAGTGGCTGATGAGAGCAGAGACAGACATCCACAGAAATACACTGAGCTGAAATCTGGAACTCAGTTGAAGAGAGGGAGGAATGAAGAACGAAGGGGTCTGTACCTGGTTGGAGAAACCCACAGAAACAGTTGGCCTGAAAAAGGGAAAGCATATCGACCCCAGATGCTCTTTGGGAGGACAGTACAGGACTAATCCAGCCCCCTGATCATGGATGCCAATGGGGAGGCCCCTGCACTCCTGGGA